GCGCTGGAAATTGATAAGATAGGAAGCCGATTTGTACTGCTGTACTTGAGCCGAACTGCTGTACTTGAGCGAAGATGAAAGTGAGCAAGAGGAAGAATTATAGATTAACAATTTATTTTGGAAACTTGGCTTGGAGAAAAACAAGATCGTCACTCATCAGACACCTCAGCACAGTCTAGATCGATTGAATTTGAATTGCAGATAAATTTAAAAACAAAATAAAAAGCACAAAAAACAATAAAAATAAATTGTTAATCTATAATTCTTCCTCTTGCTCACTTTCATCTTCGCTCAAGTACAGCAGTTCCTCAAATCGGCTTCCTATCTTATCAGTTTCCAGCGCATCTTCACCAGAAGTGACTGAATCTCCTCCACCGTAGGACATCTTCAGCGCTTTAATTGACACAATTAGATCTTTTTTCCATTTGTGGTCGCTTGTGGTTTTAGTTTTCTCAAATAGGTGCCTTTTAGCTGAGGTGTCTGATGAGTGACGATCTTGTTTTTCTCCAAGCCTTGCAGTGTCTCCAAAAATTTGTAAACCCATCAAATCACTCTAGCCGGGTGATTTTTATTCTTTTTATAATAAAATCAGCGATATTAAAATAAAAAAACAGGTGGTTGCCGTAAAAAATTTTTTATCGTCACCCGGCCGCGATTAATACCCCTTTAATTTAAAATCTAAAAATTTACTTTATTTTACTTTATTTACATTATTTAATTTATTTACATTATTTACTTTATTTACAAAATTTGTTACGACCATTTTGTGGCATCCCCTTGTTAGTCGGAAGGCTAAAGATCAAAATAAAGTAAGTAATCCTATAGGAATCGGGCTATTGGGCTTCAAACAGTGAATCAGCTGATCGCCTGCATCACTTGAATCGCTCCTAACACCACAGCTTTTCAAGGATCGAATGACTTCTTCCGAAATTGAAGTCGAATGACTTCTTCCCAAGCATCAGCAACCCATTTTAAGATGTTTAAGATTGTTCATGGCCTTTGGGTGCCCAACTTTTGCGCGTTAAGGTGCTTGCAGCAAAATCCAATTTACGTAAAGAAACTAAAAGCAGACGGAAATTACAGCTTGGAAAAGAAGAACTAATAATCTAGTGTGATACAATATTTTTCTCGTTTTTGTGATTTTTTCTCGTTCACTATTTTACAAATAGGTTGATGCATAAGTCTTTTCGTTTTTTTCGTACTTCTGTTAAAAAGTAACAAATTCACCAATTAATCTATAGTTTGCTCTATAAAAAAAGTGCTTTTTTTTGTTCAATTTGCATCTTTTTAAATGAATTTCGGTTCACTTTCAAGCAAATTCGAGAGTGAAAAACGCCTTTTGTCGTAAAAATCTATAAAAAACTCTACGGAAAAATTGGCTGAATGAATTTCTCTGAAATTTTGGCGAAATATCAAACGTTTTTTTTCTCTATCTTTTATCTATTGACACGAAGATAGGTTTTCTTTAGCTAAGGTGTCTAAACCGCATCTAAACCGCATCGAGTTAGCCCTTTTTGACTACCCGACTTCATACTCTCAAGAAAATCCAGGCATTAAATATTTTTAAACCCGTTTTAATGTTATTTTGCAGAAAAATAATTGGTTTTTCTAATGAAATCAACCGTAGTTTAATTGGTGCATTTGTTGGCTTGAAACGGCAGACGAAAAGGAACAAAAACACTTATGCATCAACCTATTATATGTCGTAACCGATTATGAATGAGTGGGCTTAGGAGCGTCCAACCATCAAGTGTTTAGTATCATTCAACGCAGAATCATTGATAATTATGTTAAATTTTTGAAATTAGAAAGATTGGATAAAAAGAAAAAAAATTATGGGGCCTCAAAGTTTCCTCTTGAACAAACAGTTTTTGTGCTCTAATTTTTTTTCTTTTTATCAAATCTTTCTAATTTCAAAAATTTAACATAATTATCAATGATTCTGCGTTGAATGATACCAAATACTTGATGGTTAGACGCTCCTAGACGCTCCTAGACCCAAATACTTGATGATTGGACGCTCCTAGACGCTCCTAGACCCAAATACTTGATGATTGGACGCTGCTAGACGCTCCTAGACCCAAATACTTGATGATTGGACGCTCCTAGAAGCTCCTAGACCCAAATACTTGATGATTGGACGCTCCTAGACGCTCCTAGACCCAAATACTTGATGATTGGACGCTGCTAGACGCTCCTAGACCCAAATACTTGATGATTGGACGCTCCTAGACGCTCCTAGACCCAAATACTTGATGATTGGACGCTGCTAGACGCTCCTAGACCCAAATACTTGATGGTTGGACACTCCTAGACCCACTCATTCATAATCGGCTACGGGGATCCCGCCGCTTTTGAATGAAACGTTGTAGCGCCGGCAATTTCATAATCGGCTACGACATATAATAGGTTAATATTTCCTATTTTACTATTTCTTATTTTACTATTTCTTATTTTATTTACCCACTCCTCTCCTAGTGTTATTGGGAAAATAAATTCCCAATAAACTGTTTATTAAATTAACATTATTAAAAAAATTTCTAGACAATTGTAGTCAAAAAAATCTCCTGGACTGAAGCTGCTTAAAATATTGTTTTATTCAGAATTTGTTGATATTTGTTTTCTTCAAAAAATTCTACCCTTACGATTCATGAAAAAGCAAACAATTACTCATCCAGATTTTAAATCATTCTGTAAACTTTTTTTGTTTATTTGTCTTCGCACTTAGATGTTCCTATTTGCGAAGAATGCTTCCACCTGCTTCCACATCAAATTGCCTAGTATTCTGTGAAATACAGTATGAATTACCGGGGAGGGGGGTAGTCAAAACAGCGCCCTAATAGAAAACGTTCAAAACAGCGCCGGTCAAAATTTCTCAAAATCCAAAAAACCAAGCCGGTTCAAGTTTTATACCAAAAAATTCCTTGCGTTCTTGGCTACATGATGGGTGAAACAGTTTTTAAAAAAAGCTAATATTTCATAGATAAAAAGAGCATTCAAAATGGGTCTCTAAAGATATTCAGTTAACCAACTGAGTATCACTCGACACACATTTTGAGTGCTCTTTTTATCTATAAAATATTAACTTTTTTTAAAAACTGTTTCACCCATCGTGTAGCCAAGAAAGCAAGGAATTTTTTGGTATAAAACTTGAACCGGCTTGGTTTTTTGGATTTTGAGAAATTTTGACCGGCGCTGTTTTGAACGTTTTCTATTAGGGCGCTGTTTTGACTACCCCCCGAATTACCAGTTATCCTCAGAGTTTTTCAGGTGTGATCGCAGGTGCACGCACAGTAAATGTCTGTCTCAGCGCCTTTTGCCCTTGGCTAGATTTTGTGGAGCTGATCAAAATAGCACCGTGTGTAAACAGCGCCAAAAACAGCGCCAAAAACAGCGCCAAAAACAGCGCCAAAAACAGCGCCAAAAACAGCGCCAAAAACAGCGCCAAAAACAGCGCCAAAAACAGCGCCAAAAACAGCGCAATAACCCCTCCACGATTCAGTTGCTATGTGTTTCTTATTCTTATTTTAAATGTAGATAATTTGAAGAATCAAATTATCTACATTTTGCAAACTTTAGGACCACTTAAAACAGAATTGATCCCGAGAAAAGCTCAGTTAATCTCTTTTTTTGTTTTTTGGCATTTTCTCATCTCAGATTTATTCTAAACGGCTCTAAAAAATTTAGCAGATAGCAAATTTTATTCTACATCGAATGAAAATAAGAAGCACAAATAAACTTAACTGCAAGCGCATTATTTTGGCCGGTGCTGTTTGTACACGACGCTGTTTTGGTCAGCTCCAAATAACTTTTGACTATATAGGCTTATATCTTTCCTCAACTGTTTTCCAAAAATCTTGAATCCAGTCCCAACCCATTTTCCACAAAAGAAAACAATCAACAATTGACAAAAGCTTTCTCTTTCAAGCCCTTTTTCCTTTCTTTTTCTTTTATTCTTTACAATGTTTATTCTTTAGATTTAACAATTCTTTGTCAGACTTTTTAAAGCAACGTTTTGTTCTTTGATTTTATTTTTACAGGTATGATTCAAAGAATCGTTGATAAATTCACGAAATGCGCTTGGGAATTGGAATTGGTTAGACCATTCTCACAAGGGAATGACCCGAACTGCGCGGACGATTTCGCGGTGACGCTGAGATGCAAACGCTTATCGAACACGATACTCTATTTATTTTTTGGCGATTCTCAATGGTTCACAAGAACCTCTACATCTTACCTTTACACCAAGGAAGTCAAGGAAAGGAAGGGAAGGGAAAGATTCCGATCAAGGAAGGGAAGGGAAAGATTCCGGTGAAGGAAGGGAAGGGAAAGATTCCGATCAAGGAAGGGAAGGGAAAGATTCCGATCAAGGAAGGGTAGGGAAAGATTCCGATCAAGGAAGGGTAGGGAAAGATTCCGATCAAGGAAGGGAAGGGAAAGAGCTCATCTATCCCCGAGGTTCGATTCCCCGATTAGGCTTTGACTTTGAAAGAGTTTTTCTTAAAACTTTTCTTTTTGAGACGTTTTTCCTGAAAAAGTTTGAAGAAATCTTCGACTTTTTGACAAATTTCGTGCGCAATGACCCCTTTCCGCCAATTAAATTGCCCAAGGTGTGCCAGAAAACTTGAAAATGGTCAACAGTCTCGAGCTACAATTTCTTTAACCGAGTCTAGAGCTACTTATCTCTAACTTCTCAAAACTGGGCTTTTTTCTATTTCTCAATTTTATCGGTTACCATAGCTCTTTCCGCCAATTAAATTGCCCAAGGTGTGCCAGAAAAACTTTTAGCTAAATAAGCTATATACTAAAAAACTCTTGAATCCAGTCCCAACCCATTTTCCACAAAAGAAAACAATCAACAATTGACAAAAGCTTTCTCTTTCAAGCCCTTTTTCCTTTCTTTTTCTTTTATTCTTTACAATGTTTATTCTTTAGATCAAACAATTCTTTGTCAAACTTTTTAAAGCAACGTTTTGTTCTTTGATTTTATTTTTACAGGTATGATTCAAAGAATCATTGATAAATTCACGAAATGCGCTTGGGAATTGGAATTGGTTAGTGTTTAAAAGAGTTTTAATAATAAAAATTGAAATTGATTCTTAAAAAGATCAATCCAAACAAACAAAAAGATCAATCAATATCAGAAAATCAACACCTGGTCCCTGCTAAACATTCCACAAGAAAGATGGCGACTTTTCACCGCACTTGTCTACATTCATTTCCTTCTCGCCACTTTTTTATTCGTTTTTGGTGAGTTATAAATGTGATTTATAAAGGATAAAGGAAAAAGGATATAAAGGAAAAGAAATTTCTTTCTAAATCACTGGAAAAGTGATCTTTGTACGCGCGCACAATCGCTTGCTGTCTCGCAAACGGTTCTAGCATAAGGTTCTTCACATTGTCGATGAAAAAAATTCGTTCTCTATCAAAAATCACTGATATTTACCTTTTCTAGACCAGAATAATGCTTTTTCTGTTAGCAATCACTGACATTTACCTTTTCTAGACCAAAAAAACCGTTCTCTTTTAAAAATCACTGACATTTACCTTTTCTAGACCAGAAAAATGCTTCTTCTTTTAAAAATCACTGACATCTACCCTTTCTAGAATAGAAAAATGCTTTATCTGTTAAAAATCACTGACATTTACCTTTTCTAGACCAGAAAAATGCTTTATCTGTTGAAAATCACTGACATTTACCTTTTCTAGACCAGAAAAATGCTTTATCTGTTGAAAATCACTGACATTTACCTTTTCTAGACGAGAATAATGCTTTATCTGTTAACAATCACTGACATTTACCTTTTCTAGACCAAAAAAATCGTTCTCTGTTAAAAATCACTGACATTTACCTTTCCACTGACATAATCACTGACAACTTTAGAATATTAGAATTTTCTTTAGAACTTTAGAACATTAGAATTTTCTCTAGAACTTTAGAGCATTAGAAGCTTCTCTAGAACTTTAGAACATTAGAAGTTTCTCTAGAACTTTAGATCGTTAGAAGTTTCTCTAGAACCTTAGAGCTTTAGAAGTTTCTTTAGAACTTTAGAACGTTAGAATTAGCTTTAGAATTCCTTTTAAAAAGTCAATTTTTAAAAACAATATCAAAAGTTAAGATCAAATATGAGTTCTAGACAAAGTTATTTATGAAAAAGTCTTCTTTACTTTCAAAAGTCTTCTCTTCTTTCTCTTTAAAGCTTCAAAAAAATTCAAGAAAAGTTAAAGAGTCTAATCTCTTACAGGGATTATCTGTTTTTGCCTTGGCATGCAATTCTCTGTGATGTATGAGGAAGTAAACTGTTCGGATGGTACAAATATCTTCATGCCATTGTTGAATTTGGTGAGTGAAGTTCGTTAAAATATTGTAGTTTTGATAAAATAAAAAATCATAAAGAAAATTGAATTACGACACAATCTTGCTCTTTCCAGATCGCCTCTTTCACCGGTTTATTCACATTGCGAACGCTTCACTTGCATTGGCCAGCTTTCATTCATTTCGTGAGCCTTTGGGTGGTTTTACCAATCAATATCGTTCAATCAGCTGACTCAGCTGCTGCAGCTTCACGGTATGACTTCTAGTCTTTGGCTTTTTTAAAGTTTTAAAGAAGAAAGGATGAAAAGAGTTTTGAAGATAAAGCTCTCTAAAAAGCAAATCTATAAAACGCGTGAATAAATTTGCAAAATTTCTTTGTAGATTTGTAATGTCAAACATTGAGATCGATTGGTTCAGTTGTTTTTTCTAAAAGGAACATCTCGCTTATCATAAGTAGGATCTCTCGCTTATAATACCTAGGATCTCTCGCTTATAATAAGTAGGATCTCTCGCTTATAATACCTAGGATCTCTCGCTTATAATAAGTAGGATCTCTCGCTCATAATACCTAGGATCTCTCGCTTATAATAAGTAGGATCTCTCGCTTATAATAAGTAGGATCTCTCGCTTATAATACTTAGGATCTCTCGCTTATAATATCTAGGATCTCTCGCTTATATTAAGTAAGATCTCTCGCTTATATTAAGTAAGATCTCTCGCTTATAATAAGTAACATCTCTCGCTTATAATAAGTCGGATCTCTCGCTTATAATACCTAGGATCTCTCGCTTATAATAAGTAGGATCTAAAGTGACGCCAAAAACAAACAATTCTTTTCTACACTCTTCATTAGTGTTATTTTTTCTGAAATTTTAACATTTTCTCTCTTTGCCTGAAAGATTGTTTTAGTCTGAATTATAAATTCAAACTAAAAAAAGACTCTATGTAGTCACAGACTCTATGTAGTCTCTTCGCTACTCAAATCTAGACTCTACGTAGTCACAGACTCTATGTAGTCTCTTTGCTACTCAAATCTAGACTCTACGTAGTCACAGACTCTATGTAGTCTCTTTGCTACTCAAATCTAGACTCTACGTAGTCACGGACTCTATGTAGTCTCTTCGCTACTCAAATCTAGACTCTACGTAGTCACTGATTCTATGTAATTTATCGTAATTTGATAAATCTTTATCGATTATCTTTAGATGGTTTCACTACGCAAAAGATCCACGAAGTCCATCAGAATGGGCTCACAACTATGCTTATATGGACATATTCTTGGCATTTATGGGATTACTAAATGGTGAGTTGATTAGATGGTAAAGTTAAGGTAAATCATGCTTTAGAACGTTTACTAGATTCATTATTTGAAATTTTTCAAGTAATTGTTTGTATACCTTATATACCTCGGTATATGAGGTATCCTTATATACCTCGGTGAAGCTGATCGTTTGAGTTTTGGTATAAATATTGAGTAATATAGATCCTTAATATACTAGAAAGAGTTATTAACGATCTACTTTCAAGCGGAAAGATCTTTGGAAGCAATAGTTGACAGCAAGCGACAGCAAGCGCAGGTGCCCAAGTTGAAACTCGGCCTGCGTTTCCTTTTTGACATCCAAATCTTTAATAAACAATCCAATTCAAAATCTTTTTCGACTAATTTGTAGAGGAGATTCATGGCTTTCAATTTCAGATGTGGTTTGCGTGGGAATTTTGTGGATTCTCTTGAAATATTGGTGTCAGGAAAGTGTTGTGCAAAACTCGCCGCGTTCAACTCGGCAACCATTGCGATAATTGGCTTTTCGACTCTTTAAATTCCCCTTATTTACCTCAAATTTCGCATCTAGTCATTCTCATTTGTTAGTCAAACGTTTTGCCATTGATTTTTAAATCATTTTTTTATCTTTTGATCTCTTCTTTATCCGGTATTCTTTCAAAATTGCAATCATTTTTTAAATTTTTTTAAATTTGTGCAAAATTTAAATTTTAAAAGCAATTGTGATATATTTTTTTGTATTCTGAACGGGTGGATAAATAGAAAATAAGATTTGAGAATGAAGAATTCATTTTTGAAAGCAAAAACTACACCTACTGTGTTTATTTTAATAGATGGATATGTCTATTTTCTAAAATCTCTAAAATCTTCGTCTATTGGAGACTTTTACATTGCCTAAACCTAGATTTGTGAAATAAAATTAACTAATTTATTTAATATATTATCCTAGAAATGCAACAATGACAAATATCAAGATAAAAACAAAATAACAAACAAATTGTAACAACAAGAACAACAAGAAGAACAACAAGAAGAGAACAACAACAAGAACAACAAGAACAACAAGTAGAACAAGAACAAGAACAAGAACAAGAACAAGAAGAACAAGAACAAGAAGAACAAGAAGAACAAGAAGAACAAGAACAAGAACAAGAACAAGAACAAGAACAACAAAGAACAACAACAACAACAACAAGAACAAGAACAACAACAACAAGTAGAACAAGAACAACAACAAGAACAACAACAACAACAACAAGAACAACAAGTAGAACAAGAACAACAACAACAAGAACAAGAACAAGAACAAGAACAACAACAACAACAACAACAACAAGAACAACAAGTAGAACAAGAACAAGAAAAACAACAAGAACAACAAGTAGAACAACAAGAACAACAACGAACAATAAGAAGAACAACAAGTAGAACAACAAGTAGAACAACAAGAACAATCTGTATAACTTGGAAGTGCTCGACTGATCGTCACCGACATTATTAACATCACTGACTTGATTGTGATTCTCTATAAAGTCGATTGAAGCATCTAAGGCTGCTTCATCTTCAATATCTCCAGCAAGCAAGAGAGAATCTAGCAAAAGATTCGTAATTTCGTGCATTCCAAAGTTTAGTCACTCCTCCGAGCACAGCTCCATCCGTTTTGAAGCAATCTCGGTATCTTCTGACCCAGCTGTAGCAATAGAAATTCCACAAGACTTAAAGGATTAATTGATATTGATAATGACTTGATAATGGCTTCTAAGAGTCAACAATAAACTGGAAGTAAATTTACATTTCCAGTGCACTCCAGCGGTGTGAGTTGGCGATGTGAGTTGGCCCAATGTGAAGCATCCAATTCAGATCAGGAGCCAAGTTTTGGAAGTCCTGGAAATCCTTTGAAAGCCAAGTCCTGGCTTGATTTGTGCCTTAATCTGGATTGCAGATCTGACACAATAAGTTTTGAGTATGCCCAGTTAGAGTTAGACATACAGGCAAGTGTCAAAGCAAGGATCTTCCAAATGGAAAGTTTTCAGACAAGAAATGAGCCAAAGTTGAATATTTCGGTTCTTGAGATTTAGCTGATTAAGTCCAAGCCAGACGTCCAAGCCAGACACCAAATCAGCCGTCCAAGCCAGACAGCAAGCCAGCCGTCCGAGCCAGCCGTCCGAGCCAGCCGTCCAAACCAGCGATCCAAACCAGCGATCCAGAGCCAGCCGTCCAAGCCAGCCGTCCAAACCAGCGATCCAAACCAGACACCAAGTCAGCCGTCCAAGCCAACCGTCCAAGCCAGACACCAAGCCAGCCGTCCAAGCCAGACGTTCAAGCCAGCCGTCCAAGCCAGACACCAAGTCAGACACCAAGTCAGACACCAAGTCAGACACCAAGTCAGACGTCCTAATCAAGTCAGTGCCCAGGAAGAAATAGGAAAGACAAGGAAGAAGGGGAAGAAAGAGAGGGTTAAGACGGACCTTCTTAAGGTTTAGGGTAGCCGAATCGTTCCATAGACGCCGCTCAAGTCGACGACGTCCTAGTGAACTATCTAGTCCAGATCAGCTTAAATCTAGCAGTTAACGCCTTGTAATATTTTGCAAGTCTAGACTCTGGCCTAATCCATTGCTTATTTCTAGTCAAGAAAAATGATCAGGCGTTTTGGTGAAGTGAAAAGAGCCGCCTGGAGAGGAAGGGTTGTAGAGATAGAGATCTTGCACCTCCCGGCTGTCTTAGTCTTTCATGTCACCCAAGAAATCCATTCCAGATCGATGCTCGACAATTTCTTTTTCGCTTGTAATAGGTATTGACTTCTTCCGCGAATATCTAAAGTCCAATTTCTGTTCTCAATTCGATCTAGTAAACTTTCCCAATCGATTTCTGGGGTCTACAAGTGACGCAAAAGAGAAAAAGATCGACTCTCATTATAAACATTCCCCTTTTCACCAATTCCGAAAAGAAATCTGTCTAAAAGCATTTAATTTCCCATTTTTCTTTTTATAAATCTCAGTGATATTACTTTTTTTGATATTTATTCTAAAAATGGAATAGGATTTAAGAAAGCTTTAGGGTTTTATTTATCAGTAAACTTTAAAGTTCAATGAATTATTTTTGTACTTTAAATCAAAATGAACTAGTGTAAGATCTCAGCAAAATATTCGAAATTCTGGTTTTAAGAAACCAAAGCTGGTTGAGTTGCCCAGCTTTTGGAGTTGGAGTTACCCAAGAAATAGCCAACTTTTGGAGCTATTCAACAATAGCCAACTTTTTGAGGAGCCAACTTTGGAGTACCCAAGAAGTAGCTAACCTTTCGAGTTACCCAAGAAGTAGCCATCTTTTAGGGTTACCGAAGAAGTAGCCAGCTTTTAGGGTTACCCAAGAAATAGCCGACTTTTAGAGTTACCCAGGAAGTAGCCAACTTTTCGAGTTACCCAAGAAGTAGCTAACCTTTCGAGTTACCCAGGAAGTAGCCATCTTTTAGGGTTACCGAAGAAGTAGCCAACTTTCGAAGTGACCCAACAGTTATCAACAGTTACCCAACTTCATCTTTTAGATAAACGTGGAAACTTGCCTTTTTCTTTTAAAAATGGCAAATATACTCTTTTTTGCGCGTTGAATTCTCAAATTTCTTCCAAATTAGATTCTCAGCAGTGCGTCAAATGGGATTTGTTTACAGGACTCTTAGGAAAGCTTCTGGGAGTGAACTCCTGAGAAAAGCTCATGAGAAAGCTATGGTTTTAGGGAAGTTGTACTTTGTGCTTTGATGTAAACACCTTTTCTTGAGCACTTCTTTCTAGTGTTCTTGATGTTTGGCTTGAGTAGCATTGAGTAGCTAAGCCAAAAGCTAAGCTAAGCTTTGAGTAGCTAAGCCAAAAGCTAAGCTAAGCCTTGAGTAGCTAAGCCTTGAGTAGCTAAGCCAAAAGCTAAGCTAAGCTTTGAGTAGCTAAGCCAAAAGCTAAGCTAAGCCTTGAGTAGCTAAGCCAAAAGCTAAGCTAAGCCAAAGCTTAATAAACACAAGTACTTGTCCAAGCCAAAAACCTCAAGAAAGAAGAAAAATAGAGAGTTTTCTCATTCACCTTGACTGACTCACAAAATTCTCCCTTCTCTAGTTCTCTAGTTATTTATTTACAAAAAAAAAAAAGAGAAAAATTCATCAAACACTGATTGATATGGATATTTTGATAAAGAAAAAAGAAAAAAAATTCATATCTTTTTGATTTCAATCAATTTTTACAAGTCTATTAAGTCAAATTTTTGTTTTAAAATGTTTTAAAATCAAAAATGCTCTAAATTTGATCAAATTTTAACCAAAATCTGCTTTTTTTAATATAAAAAAGTCATAAAATTATCCTTTTTACGATAAAAAAGAGAAAATAAACTTAGATTTATGAATTTTTTACAAAAAAAAATGATTTAACCGTTGCTTTTTGGAATAAATTTTTAAAAAAATGAAATGTTTTTTTAAAAAAAACCTGATTCTTGTTTGAATTCAGGATTTAAACTAAAGAAAATAGAAGAATTATGACATTTTTTGAATATTTTTCGTTTTCCTTTGCCTTTCTTAAAGTATTTTCTTGTAAAACCAAAACTTTTCAACCAAGCATAACGTTTTTTTTCGTTTTTTTTTGGAATTCAATATGATTTTCTTCAAAAAATCCTTGATAAATCTATTAGATACCGCTGCGGATTTAATAGAATTAATTGAGTGTTTCAAAATTGTAAAGGGCTGGCAATCTATCAATCTTTTTCGAGATTTATTCAAAGTTAATCCCACGGTTAGTTCAAGGAGAAGTTCAAGGAGTTTTAGAAATTCCAGTCACCTTCAATAAGTTTTTGTATAACTCTTTGTTCAATAATGTAGAACTCCAATAAGGACTGCTAGAACTACCAATAAGAACCGCTAGAACTGCCAGAACTGCCAATAAGCACTGCCAGAACTGCCAGAACTACCAATAAGAACCGCAAGAACTGCCAGAACTGCCAGAACTACCAATAAGAACCGCTAGAACTGCCAGAACTGCCAATAAGCACTGCCAGAACTGTCAATAAGAACTGCCAGAACTGCCAGAAGTGCTAGAACTGCAATAGCTTGGAATCAACTCCCCAGAGTTTTGAGAGAGTCGAATAGTCTCGAAACCTTTAAATCATCTGTAAATGATCTTGTTCTTGATCTTGCTCTTGATCTTGATCTTGATCTTGAAGCTCTAGTGGATTCTTGACGTTATCTGTGCTACTCTGTGGATCGACGATGACGATGACGATCGTTATCTGTGATTTTAGCAAAAAGCAAACGTTATCTGTGCTAACTCATACATCCATTATATCGTGTTGCTTTTTTTATCGGCCCTTTTTGTGTTATGTGTAATAGGCTCGTGTCTATTAGTCTTAAATCTAGCGAACTTTATTTCAGCTCTTGAATAAAGTATTTATAGGTATATATATGTCGCAGCCGATTAAGGATTTCAGCCGAAGAATTCTCAGACTTCTTCGGCTAGCCGATTAAGTCTCAAACTTCTTCGGCTAGCCG